CGACCTCTCCGCCTCGACAGCAGCAGAAAGCCCCGAGGGGCGTCGATGGCCCGGCAGGGGCCGCCCGCGACGACCCTCGGGGGCAGAAGGCTGCGGCCCCGGGCGGCCCCCAGTCGCCCCCCGGGAGGAGCGGAGAGACTGCGGAGAAAGCGCCCCCGCTGCCCACCCTGTACGTGCAGCTCCATGGAGAGACCACCCGGCGCTTGGAGGCGGACGAGAAGCCGTTGCAGATCCAAAATGACTACCTCTTCCAGCTGGGATTTGGGGAGCTGTGGAGGGTGCAGGAGGAAGGCATGGACTCGGAGATTGGCTGCCTCATCCGCTTCTATGCAGGTAAGGAAGTCACCTGCACGTTGACGGGTGGGTGCAAACACTTCCAGGGATCCAGCAGTGATTCAAATTACCCGTGTGTTTGCGTGCCCCAAGAGTAAATGCGGGTCCTGGTGAGTCTTTGTCTGATGCTTTCTAGCTTTCGCGTACAATCTGTGCAGTACTAAATTGAGCAGTCTTTAAAATCTGCGAGTTTTAGTCAATTTTGAGGGCTGAGAGGTTGGAAAGCAAGGTGGAGGAGGCGGCCGAATCACCAGGAAGTACAGGAAGCAGATACTCCTGAAAGAGGCAGCAGCACATTTAACAGTAAAGGTGCTTTAGGCCTCTCCTCTGGGGCCTGTTGGCTTTCAGGCATATTGGGATTTCAGGTAAACTGTCAGTGCACATAATACCGACAGAGGAAAATGAGCAACAAAAATGCTCTCTAGCACCCTTCCCTTCCTACATTTGACAATTCTAGCTCTAAGTATATGCCACCAGGAGCGGCTTGTTGCTTGTCAACTGTGCCCTTGTTTGTTCAGCTCTCTGCCATGCTTATTTACCCAAGGGGTCCTCGCTAGAAACCTAACAAATATGATCCTTTTTTTAAAGTAATGCTTTTCCCCAGTGGGTTTCTTTTATTTTTGGCCTTATTTCAATTTGCTCTGCAAGTTTAAGTTTTGCATCAAAAACGATTTTGCCTGTTTCTTTCTCTCATTTCTTTCTTCCAGTCTTTATAGTCAAAACTGACCATTGCAATAGGACTTGTAGTAGGGTTCATTGTAAAAATTTAAGTGATTACTGTCTTTTCAGATGTGACCTAAAATCCTCCCCAGTCTTTTTTCAGTGCTAGATCAAGTTCTTGACTAGGGGTGACTGAAGTAATGTTTCTCTTTTGGCTAAAGACTTGGCTGATGCTAAATTAGGGAGCTCTAGGTCCTGGTTATTATATTTGAGTTTTATAAGTTGTTTGCATCCTTTTCTTCCTCTAATTTGAAGAATTATGTTCTTAGTGAAAAGGAATTTTATTTAAAGTTAGCGTAGTACAATTAAATCAGGAGACTTAAATCTTTGCCATCCTGAAGTTTTGGATTGTAGACAGTGGTGGAAAAATAATCATACTTCCAATTCCATTAATCATAACCATTCTTCCAAGTTGATACGTTTTTGGTCCGACTTGTGTCCTTAATGGCAGTTTAGTTACTTTGAATGAAGAAATCTTAACTTCCGCATTGAAATATGCAAGACTGATAGCATTCTTGCTGAGATGTTCCTCTAAGTTTCATTGAACTTTTCCTGAAATTCTTAAATGGATTTCTGATGGATTTTTGCCTTATAAAGAAAACCAAATCATAATACAATAGCATTTGTGGTATCTGAAGATCATATCTCAACTGAATGACATGACTTTTAAAGATTATGGCCCACTAATTAGGTGATTTTTTTATGTAGGAACTACAGCTATATTCTTCTTTAGCTCATGTGATTTGTAAAATATTATTTTACAAAAGCATTGAATGGTAATCACACTTGGAATGAGAATATTAATTTTGTTAATGTGAGAATAGATAAATACCTTTATATCTAAACTACATGGGAGGATATATATATATATATATATATATATATATATATATATA